AAAGGCAACTCACACATCTTAGCAAAGCAGCGGGATCGGCTCAGAATAATGGGTTAAATTACTTCACCTCTCAGCCGGCTCTGATCTCGGGGGCCCACGGCCCATCAGGCCACTCAGAACAATCGGGCAGCCTGACACTAATTTAAAACACGGGCTCAGGGTATTGGGTGGCTCCTTAAATCAATTACTGCAGCTATCTGGAGATTTTGGGGGTGGGTTTCAGACGTGGCAAACAGAGCTGGCGGAGGGGACGCTTGATTGTGTGTGTGTGTGTGTGTGCCACAGTTATCGGGGACACGAGGGTGGGAAAGGCAGGAATCCACCCCCGAGCCAACAGAGCTCAAGGGAGAAGAGGGAACACACGGGTATTTCAAACAGATCCAGCCTTTAGCCCTGCGTGTTTACTCAGAGCAGCGCAAAAAACCCCGTGGAATTCTGCCTTGGGAATTCCCTGGCTGTGGATGTAGCGTGGGGGACGCTCCCTGAGAAGGCACAAAGGGATTGTGTGAGTGGAGCGGTTTTGGGCTCAGAAAGCTCAGCTTGCCAGCTGAGGGCAGGTGAGAGTTTCTGGGAAACCTGGAGAAACGTTGTGTTTGAAGTGTTTGCCTCCTTGGGAGACGTGAAGGCCGTCCACGGAGGTTTCACCCCATTTTGGGGCCATCAAACGTTTCTACAGCTGCTCTGGTTTGTCACTCCATTTCCAGCTCTATCCAACAGCAGCTCTTCTGCCTCTGATGCATCACCAGAAATTCCCACAATAACATTAACTAGTGCTGAAGGAGGTCAATTAATTCAGTTGAACGGGTGTAATTTGGAGGATGGGTTTGATACATCACCGTCTGCCCTAAAAAACGGGGTGTGTGGCCACCCATCTGCTCGAGGGCAAAACAAATAAACCAGCTGCCTGTGTTGCGTGTCCCTTCACAGGTGGAGCTGACTGGAAACAGCATTTACGAGTACATCCACCCCTCTGACCACGACGAGATGACGGCTGTGCTTACTGCTCACCAGCCTCTCCATCCTCACCTCCTGCAAGGTACCTGTCACCTAACTACAAGGGGAAAAAGTGAAAATAACAAAACAAAACAAAAAAAAAAGTGATGAGTTCCAACCCAAAGCGTTCCACGATCCCATAAATTCGTATTTATCCTGTTTGAAGAGGTACACAAATGGAGGAGGAACACGAACCTGAAACCACGACCCAGGATTCTGGGTCGCTGTGCTAAGAGGAATGAGCTCCCCCAGATTAAATGATGCCTCTCACCCCATGCAGCTTTAAACAGCTTTTGTAGACTTTGCCCAGTGGGCTTTTCGTCTCTTTTGTTTTGTCATCTCTGCTGAGGCTGCAGAAATGGTGTGATGGTCTGAAGCTACGTGGGGAAAAAAACCCACCAAAACATCAGGCAGTTGGTAAAGAGGAGGATAATTTTAATATTTTTGAAACAACTGTTCAATTTGAACTGTTAAATTTGATGGTGGAACTGGATGACCTTGAAGGTCTCTTCCAACCTTGCTGATCCCGTGAAATCCACGACTTTCCATGCAGTTTTGCTGATATCCACAATATTTTTATACCTGCCGCCTTGTCAATGCCAATAACCTCATGTTTTTCTTAAAAATATACATATTTTTCAATTTATTACTGGGCATTTTTCCAAATTTAAAGTCATGAGCAACCGATTGGAATTAATTTCCATGCCAAAAGCAGCTAATCCCACAGCTCTTCCCAAATATACCCCTCATTCTCCATAGCTTTCTTTTCCTCCTCCTATGTAGATTTACTGTTAGATATCAAAATCAGGCTCTGGTTTCTCATCAGTGCAAAGTTCAAGGAAAATTCCCTTGGAATTGGGATCCACTGAGGGGTGTTTGGTATAAAATTTTGTGGTGCAGAGGAAATGGATAAAAACCTCCCAAGAACAGGATCTTATTTGGATTCCTAGACTTGGAGAAGCTGAACAGAGGAGTTCAGCTGTGTCTTAGTTTGTATAAGGATTATCTTAGGGAAACATGGAGTATTTTATGGAAATTTCTTCCCCCCCAAAAAATACATGGAGTGGGTGTAATAAAGTAACCAGAATCTACAGTTAAATCTTTCTAAAATTGAAGGAGTGAACAAATATTTATTTTCTTTTGCCTCCCCTGTGCCAGTAATTCCTTTTTCTGCATTGTTTTATACGTATATATTTTGAGATGTAAATTTAAATCTCAATTACATCTTTAAGATATAGCTTTAAACTACCTGGGCTACAAAAATCAAAGCAGGTTTTCCTATTTTAATCCACGGGAGCCCTGAAACCTATTAAAAAAATTAGAGGAATAAACTTCTTTCTGTATCTGAGTAGATATTTTCAATATTTAGGTAGAACACCGAGTTCCACAAATAACTTAGGACAGAGGGCAGTTGAGTGGAAGCGGCTTTATTTTCTGAGAAAAAAAAAAAAAGGGGGGGAAAACAGACTTTTTAAAGAGCATTTTTTGTCATTTCGGTTTCACTTTACATCTTTTAATCTTCTAAAGCACGTCTGAATCGTCGGGTCAGACAAAAACATTCCCTTTATAACTTTATTATGGCACAGATTTCTCCGACCTGGGGCATTACTTAGGTGTAAAAATCAATATTCCACCGCGGGCAAGGATTTTTATATGAGGAAATTTACAGCTTTGGCTCACGTAAAGTGCCCAGATATTGAGACACAATTTTAGTTCAGGTGCTATTTCGGCAGCTGTAGCTGGATAAGATCTGCTCTGAGAGGAATAAAATCACAAATGCCAACAGAGGTATCTACACTTTGTGGTGTTCTGTTACTGGTGTTAAATAACCCCGAGCACAGATTATTTTTGACCTCTAGTTTTATAGCCTTTGTAAATTTGGATTTTACCCCTATTTATTTTCGCAGGGAAATGCAAATTACTGCATAAAATCAGAGATACTGGGAATTTCTTTACATAATCCTCACTGTCACATTGTTTTTCATCAGATAACTCACTCTGGTGTAAGAAAAAAATACATATTAGTTTAAAAGGCATAAACCTTCTTAAATTATCACATTTTAATTTTGCCCTGGACTTCCTCATGTTTCAAGCAGAACAAATGCAGCAGGTAAACAACTTTGTTTTCCTAAAAGACAGTGGAAATACTCGAATAATCCCAGACTTCCAGAAGCTGGGACCTCATAGCAAGGTTTAAGGGAATAAGGTTTGGGAATATGGATGCTGCTGAACTGTGAGGGTGGGGAGACCACGGAATAGGTTTCCCAGAGAAGCTGTGGCTGCCCCTGGAGCCCTGGAAGTGTCCAAGGCCAGGTTGGAGCACCCTGGGCTGGTGGAAGGTGTCCCTGCCCGTGGCAGAGGGTTTGAACTGGATGACCTTTGAGATCTCTTCCAACCCAAACCATTCGATCATTCTATAATCTGTTCAGTTTACCAGAAAGAAGATTTGAAGGTGACTTGATTACTGTGTGTACATATTTCCAAGGAAAGAAAATGCTGGGAACTCAAGGGCTGGTTCAGAAATAAAAAACACATCAAGGAGCAACATCTGTGCACTGAAACCACAAAAACTCGAATTAGAATAATGCATCCATTTCTGGCTGGGGGGCTGATTAACCACAAGAAGAAAACCCTGAGGGGAAGCAGGGATTTCTTCCAGTTTGGATGCCTTCAGCTCAAGGCTGAGTGTTGGGGAAGACAGAATCCAGGCAAAAAGAAGCTCAGCACAGGGGCTTAGAGGCTGAATTTTAACAGCCTGTGCTGCCCAGGTCACAACTAAGACCTTGTGCTCCTTTCTCTAAGTCTACAAGCCATGACTCAAGGAGAGCCCTAAGCCCCAGGATCTGTGGGGGCTTTGGAGAATTTCAGCTCTGCCTCACGAAGTCTTTGAGCTGCCTTTTTGGCTCGAGTGGCCAGCAGTGAGAATGTAAAGCAATATGTGCTCTGCTGTGAGAGAAGCCAACAGCTGGACTCTCTGAGGGTGGCTGGGGTGGGGAAAAAAAGAATAATCTCCCTCATATATGTGTTAAAACTAGAATATGGCTCAGTGAATCACCTCGTGTGAGTCTTCAGGCCAGGTTTGCATCGATGTGCTTCGGCTTAGTTCTGTACCTGTGAAGACTCACACCTCAGGTTTGCACTCCCTGTGCCACCTGTTCTTATTGCAAAGGTTGGTATCAGGGTTACTGGGCCTCTCTCTCTCGATATGAAGAGGTAATAGTAGTTTTTGAGTCCTGGAAGCCTTTAAGGTTGTGTTTCAAAGTGACTGTAGAGAGTTGGTGCGTGTTGCAGATCTCCCCTCCTTAGTGCAGGAGAACTATTGGGTGGTGGTTGTGGTGCCAGGCCAAATTCTGCCTCATTGAAATCCAGAATATTCTGATTTGGAAGGGACCCCCAAGGATCATCCAGTGCCAGCCCTGGCCCTGCCCAGGACACCCCAACACTCCCCCCTGTCCCTCAGAGCGTTGCCCAAACGCTCCTGGAGCTCTGGCAGCCTTGGGGCCGTGCCCACTGCCCTGGGGAGCCTGGGCAGTGCCAACCACCCTCTGGGGGAAGAACCTTGTGCTGAGCTCCGACCTGAGCCTGCCCTGGCACAGCTCCAGCCCTTCCCTGGCTGCTGTCCCTGTCCCAGCCAGCAGAGGTGGGAGCTGCCCCTCGGGAGGAGCTGCAGCCCCCGCTGAGCTCTGCCCTCCTCTGCTCCAGCAGCACCAGCACAGTGCCCTCAGCTGCTCCTCCTGCAGCCCCTCAAAAACCTTCACCAGCTTTGTGCCCGTCCTTTGGACACCCTCTAAGAGCTTTAAATCTTATATTGTGGTGCCCCAAAACTGCCCCCAGGCTCGAGGTGAGGCCCCCTCAGCACAGAGCAGGGCTGGCAGTGGACAGCAGCTCCACCAGAACTTCCTGCAGGCAGGTGAGGAGTTCACCCCTTTCCTCACCTCACACGGAGCTCAAAACTAAACATCCACCTGGCCAGTAGGTCTAAGTAGCCACAGCTCAGCAGCAAAGCATTTTGGCGGTGGCAGGATGAGGGGGACAGTGCTGGCAGAGGTTTGTGAGGTGACGTTACCAAGTGCCCTCTCCAGAGGTGATGACGTGTCCAAAGGAGTGGCCGGATTTCAGGGAGTGAGCGCTGAGGATTGCTCCAGGATGAGTGACTGCAGCCAGCTCCCACCAGCACAATTCTGTGGAGGGAACAACGTGCCCACACAAGCTGGGGTGCAATCAGGACATTGTGCCCTCAAATGATGCTACTTTTGAAATATCTGTGTTGCTGATCCATCTCTAACTATTTATGTAGGAAGTTTTCTCTCAGAGTTCACAGCACAGAATGGAGGACCTGTAGCAGGGCAGCAAAACTTACTCAACCATCCATCTCTTGAGACTGATACAAGCAAGAAACAAGCAAAAATAGAAGATATTTGCCCTGCAGCTTCACCAAGACGAGGAATTAAACAATGCTGAGAGGGATTCGAGGAATTAATCAATGCTGAGAAAGTTTTCAGCACTTTGTGCTGCTCTTCAGTGTGTGTGTCTCCAGTCAGGCACTGTGTGTCTCTTCTTGGCTTCAATTGCTTTTTCTGTGATTTTAAACCTCTGAAACATCTACAGCTTCCCAAATTTTGCTGACTCACACCAAGGAACAGGGTCCTAAAAGCGGTTTATGAACATTCCCCAGAGCAGGGAAAGGGAGAAAGGAACGTGGTAGTTGCTGCAGACATTCCAGTTTGTCTGCTAACAACTGGATAATTCCTGCATGATTAGTTATAAACCTAATGTAAGTTCCACAGGGAATGTGGGACACATCAGGTTGGGCTTTCCCCACCCCAGCTGATGCTTTGAGGGCACCATTTCACTCAGCCAAGAAGAAGCAGATCCCTGTGCACGCTTTTCCTCTCAGGGAAGAAATTTCTCCCCTCCACAGGTACAGTTTGATATCAAAAGAAGGGAATAGAAAATCTATTCCCTTTTTTTTTTTTTTCTAGTGGCACGTATGCAAAAGACCAACATGGGCAGGAATTTTAGTTTTCGTTATTTTAAAGATAT